AGAGTAGGAAATTTCACAAACTTTTTTTTTCTTTCTAAAATTCCAAACCATCTTTTTGTTAAAAATTCCTGATATGCAGTAATGAGACGATTTTTATTATCCTGAAATAATAGATCCAGAATGATGTTTTTATATATTTATGTTACATTTTCCAAACAGAAAGTATCTTCAATCTCTCTATTGTTATAAATACGAGGTATATTTTGAGATTTAATTGAAATTCTAACTCTGACACTTTCTTTAAAACAGTAGTTTTTTTCTAAAATCCACTGTACTTATCTTTTTACTTTGTCATTTCTAATTTTGTCATTCTCACATGCTGCCTTTCTTCCCTGGTTATCTGTTTTTAATACATCTGTATCTTGTCTCTCCAACTAGATCCATCTGCTCCTTTGACAGCAACAGGGAGTCTTGTAGAACATGCTTAAAGGACAGTGGATCTGGCTAGATCACATGGCATCATTACATAGATTAGCCATTAAATAGATCCAATGAGTGGAATACAAGTGAAGGGCCTGGCAAAGTGACAGCAGATGTCAGCATGATGCAGTAATTGGTACAGCTGGAGATCCTGGTGTTATAATCTCTAGTCTTCTGAGGTGGACATTATGGTTTGAAGAATTTAAGTAATTGGCCCAAATCATTCAGTTTGTAAGTGGCAGAATTTAGAAATGGATCTATAAATTGGCATAAGCAGCCAGGGAGACATGGTATGGGATCATCGGATTAACTGGTCTAGAATTCTTTAAATTATTCTTTAATACATAAAGCTTTACTTTTACAACCTGGGATAAGAATCTGGAATTTAAGCTGCTTCTGCTGTGGGGAATGGTGAAATGAGAGCTATGATACCAGCAGGTATATGTAGAAATGTGAACGTAATAGGCTCTCAGGCAACACAATTACATATTGGATGGATTTGTGTTTTCCTGGATAGTTATTGATGTGTTCAAATAATATGTTTACCTTGCTTTCAGACTAAAGTGAAAATTCTTTAATATGCCTTATAAAATGCTACATTATCTGACAACTTCCAATCTTTCTCGATTCTAGATAATCATCCCTCACTTTATTACCTAGCAATATGTACCTTAACACATGGTCGTCCCTCGCTTTTCTTCCTAGCAACATATTCAAGAGTCATCTAAGAGTCTCCTGCTTGGTGAAATATTTTTTTGCTCCACAAGGACTGAAATATGTTTATCAAAGCCTCCACTCTGCATTATGCATACCCTCCTTTAGAGCACTTAGCAGGATACTTTTTAATAGTCTCTTCAGACTCATTTTCTTATCAGACATATAGCTCTGGAAAGCAGGGGCCCTGACTTTCCACTGGAGCAATCCCAGCACCGAGCAAGGACACAATAAATATATGAGAGTGGAAAGGTGAGAGGCAAGAAAGGAAATTGAGACCTCCTTTTCATTGCCTAGTTACATCATTGCTTCCTCACCACTGGCTACATCTGCTTCTCATTCAGAAACAAACTACTCAAAGCAAAAAGTTTTAGCCAGGGGTTCTGTGTGTGCATGTGTGTATGCGTATCTTGTTTCAAGACCAAGGACATTAATAACATTTTTTGGATCCAAGTACTTTACACAGAACATAAACTTGGTAGTCTGTTTTTAAAAGGATCTAATTAACAGTCCTATCACTTCAGTGGGCCACCCTGGATATAACAGTCTCAGTCTTGGTAAGTATTGTATATATCTTTTTAACTAGATAAAAGCAGAATGAATATGACATAGTTGGCTGTGGTTAGAATATATGTCCCTTCTTCCTATCCATACCTTCAACCACAGGCTCCAGTACAAATAAGAAAAAGCTTATAAAACCCACGAAATCCCAGGCACCACACCCCTGATATCAAACTGATAGGAATATGTAAGTATAAGCTTCCTTTCTTCCTATTACAGTATTATTCATAGATGTGAAGTTGGAATTTCAGGAGTTCATTGACTCTATTCCCAGCCAGATCAACAATTGGACTTCTTTTCACACAAGGATATTCTATTTTTATTTTCTAAAACTTACAGCTAGTTAAGGTCTTTTTATGTTTTAAGCAAAATACCTGTATCCAATAAACAGAAAAAATTTAGATGTATATTTTTAAATAAAATAATTGGTATTATAAATGCACACATACAATAGAAAAATAGGCAAATCAGAATGTTAAAGTAGGGGAAATTTTAAGCAAAAGCAGAGAAACAACTAAGTGATTAAAATGACAGTTTGCTTTGGCTTTTTAGATAGGGAGATACGTAAAAGGGAAAATATGTTATGGACTGCTTATTTGGAAGACACATATCCCCTTTATCATTGTACTTTTATTTTAGATAAAATTCTATGAAGCAACAATTTTTAAAAGCTTACGTAGCTACATGAACAAAAATATAAAAAGTGTCCTATAGGGGGCACTCGAGTACTATGAACCGAAGCATCAGCTTTTTCTAGTCAGATTTTGTTTAGATGGAAAGGGGTAAACCCTTGGGCACATTTTCATATTACCTTTTATATAATGAACAAAACTGAGTCAAATAAACGAAAATACTCTTTGTCGTGCTTCTACTATTCCCCAGCGAAAGACAAAGGGATATTAAAAGGTGCCATTAAATGACATTCTGAGCTCTATTATTCCAAAATCATAAAGGTATGATAGTGTAGACAGCTGTGTTGGTCTGCATTTTCAAAATTCCAAACAAGTTTCTTCTATATTATAGTTCAATGCCAGAGATAATTATCATCCTCTTCTAGAGACATTTAGTTGGATAAAACAGTAAAAAGCAGAGTCATGTGCCTCATTCTCTCTGGGTCTTAAAGCACCATAATATGAGAAACTAAAATCCTTTTGAAATAGTATTCCTAAAGAAGAGTTAGTCTACCACTTGCACAGGAAAGTTGTAACAAATGATGGTGATTTTTTAAGGGGGTGGGGGGAGGGGTAGGATGAAGGCAAAATTAAGATCCGCCCAACCTGTGTTCCAGATTTCAAGTGAACACGTTTTGGCAGCTAAGACTTTATTTTAACCTAAACCTAAACGAAAACTTGTGATGGCACCTAACTGAAAACAAAACGTGTTTTCTTTAAAGTGATGGAGAAACTGTTTCATTTAGGCTTTGAAACTGCACATAAAAAGAAGTTGCTTTTTATTTTAACATGGTCAATATCATGGTAGCTTAAAAATTAACCTCTAGATGCCCTCAGGATAGTGATATGAATCCAATTAAGCACATTAAATACTAATCTCCCCATTGAATTTCCCACTGAAGCGCTTCACAGCGCACAGCACTAAGAGCACGTGCTTTGCTTCTGTCATTTTCACACAGGGCAGCTTAATGCCTGCTCTGATTTTAAGACAGGCTTGTATGAGTGCTAAGCACCTCCTCTCATTAGCTTGTGCACCACTATCACAGCTGCAAATAATGAAATCACTTCTAGTACCATTTAAGTCGGTAACTTGAGACACCTGTAGCAGGTATGATCTCGCACTACAGCCTGTTTGGGTTATGAAGCAAGAGCGTACCCCTCCCTGCAATATTTTTAGTGCCACCTAAATATTTGCTGTCATAAAATTGGGTTATATGTCAGTAGTCCCTAACAATGATTTGACAAGAATCTCAAGTTCTTGATCTACTTTGAAAGCATGAAACTTGAAATAAGAGAAGACAGACAATTTATAACTAAGATTTCTTGGATTTAATATAGTTATTATAGCCAACAAGATAGGATTTTCTGGGACATTCTTGAGTAAAAGTAATTATTACCCAGTAATGATATTTATCAGGCCATATGTTCTAATTTTGGCTTGGAAACTGACTAAATGTAAAGTGTGTGGAGCAGTAGTGGGCAGAGGGAACCAGCTCCGGAGCTGCAAAACCAGCCTGGCAGTCACCGGCATAACATCCTTGGAGCTATCATTTGTTTTCACTTGCAATCTACAGCTTGGAGCATGGTTGGTTCTAGAAACTCTCCAGCCAAATTTACACCTGGTATTTGTCCTTTAATATTTTTTATTTCATGAGAACAACAGAGTGTGTTAGGATTTCCAAGCTATTTTTCTCTGTGGTTGGACGTACCTTTGTGGAAAAGTCCAAATTGATTAATCTCCTTAGTTTTGGATAAAAAGTGAAGACTAATATAAACAATCCTTTGGCTAATCTTGTATTTCTCTGAATGTAGGTCAATTTGTGGTTGTATACAATATATATTTTTTCTTGTTCAAATAATTATATTATAGTTTTCAGGCAAAGCCTAGTAAGGAGCATAAAAACCATCTCTTGTCATTTTCATTCACTTACTTTTGGCAAGAAAACCCAAGAAGTTAAATTGGAATAAATTAGGATTGCTATCCACCTAAAAGTACAAAATTGATACTTCTTTTAGAAATAAATGCATTCAGTTGCAAAGAAAGACTGAATAACCAAAAATATTCTTGGTCATCCCAACTACGTTTTCTATAGTGTGCTTGTGAATAATGTTGTCTTAACACTCTTTTCTGTTGCAGTTGTTATGTAGTAAGGCTTGCAGAACAATGTGAATGATACCCTTGGTAAAGTCTATTTACAACACAGAATGTAGCAATGGAAAGTCATAAAAGCATTTAATGGTCTTTCAGCTACAATTTAACTTTGCCAGTATTCATACATAAAATCACACATTTTCACAAATCTTGATAAACATATCTAGGTCCAAATGTCACCATTTTTCTTCCCACAAAGAGAAGCTTGACATAAAATCAGGGCATTCTGCTCTGAACTAGACAGATCCTTTTTGCATTTGAGTTTTTACTGTGATTAAAAGTATAATTTTCATAATAGAAAAACACTTTTAGAGGGCAGGAGACATTTCCTATGCGAGAGAAATGAACTTTCCTACTTAGCAAAAATAAATAATGTTTTGAAAAAGTTAGTTCTGTAACTTTTCTTTAAAGCAAACTTTAAAAAAAAATGTAAAAACTCGACACTAAGTGCATTCCACTTACCACAACTATTTAGTACTTACTCAGTGACAGTCACCGTGACCAAACAGAGCTGTTGACAGCCTCTGAAGAGCTGTTCTCAGTGGGGATTAAGCAGGTACACTTTGAAGAAAGGTTTGTTTTTGTCTTCTTTCTTTTTTTAATTTTTTGCTTCTTTTTACTGTTTTTTTTTTCTAATTTACTTTATGAGGACCATTTCTGATAAAGGAATGGAAAAAAATAGATTACCCTTCTTACAAAATCCAGCAAGACAAAGCAAAACAATCTCCTCCACTAAAGCACAAAACAAAAAAAACCCTAAACTTGGCTAAAGATACTGTAGCTCCAAAGTACTTTTTACATTTTAGCAGCAACTAATTTTATTAAAGCACATATAAAATGAAATTAATATAATTCTGGTATCCCCTCTTCTCAGCTCTCTGTCTATTGCTTGTACCTGTCCTCTATCTCAATATTATCCTGTTTATTTCAGATATAGAGATGTGTTCTATGCAGAAGGACCAGGGAAGAGCAGATGCAGGAATGATTATACAAGTTCAAGGGAAGAAGTGAAAATCCATTAAGCAGCAGTAAGACAAATTGTCTCTGGGTACCTATCTGAGGAAAGGCTATGCAAAAAGATCGTATAGGGGGCGGGGTTAAAAATTGTGAAACGCTAAAGACAGTATAAAAAGTAAACAAGAAAAATATCTTTTGGATATAAAGTAGGAAACTATTAAATACGAAGTGGATAAAACACTTGAAAGGGTCCCCAATAATAGCTATAATAAAATAAATAAGTGAATAAAAGTTGAACCAGACTTTCTCAAGTTCTCTTTTTGTCCTCTGATGCTATGTGAATCCACAACACAACAGAATCCATAGGCTCTGATTAATCTGTAAGTTACCAGTGAAAACATTTCTGAATGTTTTGAATTCTGAACATTTCTGCACTCGCTATTAAGTTCAAGACCAAAGGAGGTATGAGGTGCTAATCAACTAAACGCTGACCCTGACACTCAAAATATTTGTTTGTTTGTTTTTTGAAGGAAGATTAGCCCTGAGCTAACATCTGCCGCCAATCCTCCTCTTTTTGCTGAGGAAGACTCGTCCTGAGCTAACATCTGTGCCCATCTTCCTCTACTTTATATGTGGGATGCCTGCCACAGCATGGCGCGACAAGCACTGTGTATACTGCGCCTGGGATCTGAACCAGAGAATCCTAGGCTGCTGAAGTGGAATGTGCGAACCTAAGCACTACATCACTGGGCCAGTCCCAAAATATTTGTATATATATTTTGTGATTTCTTGTTCAGAGTCTAATTCTAACAGAAGGCTCAGTTGTCTCTATAAAGGTTTATCTGTAAAGATATTTTCCAAGAAAGATGTAGCCCTGATTTTAATGGGTGGTCTCAGCAGTGGCCTTTTTGTATCATACCTGTGGTTCACCACAGCATGGTTCCCACAAGATCCAGGAAATTCAGCCCATTAGCACAGAAATGACATTTGGTTTAGATTGTAAGCTCTGATAGCACAAGGGGCGTGTCTATTTTCTTCATTGTTATTTGTACGGTTCTGAGTGAAGTGGCTGTTGCATAATATATAACTATTAAGAGAATGAACAAATTCAGATCCCCTGGGCTACCACTCCTCTGAGCTAGGAAGAACTTCAATGATGTTCACTACATAATAAAGGAAGAAATCAGGAAACTTTATTCAAGGTCTGTTTCTGACATTAATAAAATGTGTGACCTCTTCAACTTTTTTCATCTGTAAAGTGTAGTGAATTGGAAGAGATGATTTGAATGTTCCTTTAGGTGTAACAACCCAGAAAGAAGCAGAAAGATGATGACCAAAATGACAGAGATCAATATTATCGGATAGCAAAAGGCCTCAAGGGCTTACTTCAACAAAGTGCATCCTGACAGTGGAAACTGACAACCATCTCCCAGCGTGAAACACTAACTCTATTGTAGCAGCTGGAGATGGAGATGTGGAGGTCATCATGACCACAAGTATGTCAGGGTCAAAAAGCACCAACAGCAACAAGTCTTAAAGAGCAACCGACTTGAAAGTCAAGGATCATTTCCACGCAAGTACAGAGACAATGATTTGATGAGTTTTTAGCATTTCTGTATTCCCCCCCACACATGGATTGTATTGTTCCCAATTGTGCGTTCTGGAGACATATCCAAAAATCCAGATAGGATTTGTCTCTTGAATGTCTATTTATTTATGGAAGTCAATTGTTGCCTGATGAGGTTGTCTAAATCAGTAAAGAGTCGTTTCCTTCCTACGGTCAAAAGTTTAACTAGGGGCCAGCCCCATGGCCGAGTGGTTGAGTTCGCGTGCTCCACTTTGGTGGTCCAGGGTTTCACCGGTTCAGTTCCTGGGCATGGATGTGGCACTGCTCGTGAGGCTATGTTGAAGAGGCATCCCACATGCCACAACTAGAAGGACCCACAACTAAAATATACAACTATGTACTGGGGGGATTTGGGGAGAAAAAGAAAAAAAAAAAAGAAGAAGATTGGCAACAGTTGTTAGCTCAGGTGCCAATCTTTTAAAAAAAGAAAAGTTTACTAAACAAGAGTCAGAGAAAATGTAAAACAATCAAATTAGTTTTAAGAGCTTTTATTATTTATTCTTTGAAAGTTATAATTGACTACCAATTGTGGTTTTCACCGTAATATGTATATCTTAAAGCATTTACAGATAATGACAGTAAAGATAGGCTGAGATTTGTATAAAGAGAAAAACTTAACATACCTCTAAACACTTTTACTTCCCAGACTTAATTGGATAATCACGTCACTCATGATTTTTTTTTTCCAGGTGTATATACCTCCAAATAATTTGCAAATAGTGGAAATTAAAATTGCAGCAAAATCTTACATTCTAAACTAAGTGCCCATGTCCTGGTTGAAACAGCATGCCATCAAACATTTATGGCAAACTTTTGAAGGAAAGCAGTTAAAAATATGCATTGAAACGCTGCAGTTTGAGAAGTAATATGAATTTAAAGTTTTTTCTTAGTGGCTTTTCCAGAGTAACTTTGTTTCAATTTTAAACTACTGATAATGTTTCTTTAACAATTCTCAACCCCACCCCTTACCCCTCATTCTCCCCACCCCTGTCTTGGCCCCTCTTTCTTTTTCTTCTCATCCTGTGTCTGCTGCTGCCTGGCAACTTTTCTGTGTGGAAAGTCCGGGTAAGAACTCTAGCAGCCCTTGGAATGATAGCTGCAGAAATCCCTAGCAACCTGACTTTCAGGCCAACTACCCTTCACACACATCACTTCCATGAGACCAACTGTCAGTCTTGGTTTGTTTAGACACACACCCTCCTCCTAACATGACTTCCAGGTGTGTAGTAAATGAATCGTTACTATCTATGGTAAAAATCCCAACAGCCCAAAGAAAATCAAGTTAGCAGAAAGGAAATCTGATGTTTGATCACATGTATGAAAAGTGTGGCTCTAACTGGCAAGTATAACATTACTACCAACTGATAATTAATATTCCTGTGTTGTTTTAGACCAGAAAGTAAGAATGATTGGTTCTACTTTGTTTAATTTATCTCAATGAGAGATTTCATAACATTCTATAGTTTGATGAACTAATTTATTTAACTTGTCAGTGTTAATAACTCTGATTAGAATGAAGAAATTATAATGGACCATAAGAACAAACAGAATTTGAACAGTAACTCTGGCTATGCCTTCTTCACCAATAATACACTTAATTAATTTCCCTTTTCATTAAGCATATATGATGAAAACTAAAAGTATTTCATAGGAAATTATTCTTTCTCTTTTATTTATAATCCAGTATAACTGAATGGTCATTCAAAACTGAGAAATAAGTGATTTAATTTTAAAATTCAAAGTTGGCTTATACCTTTATCCATCTCATTGATGTTCATAAAAACTATCTCTTTTGATGAATTGGTCATTTTCAATGGGTATTTGGAAGAAGAACCACCATATGTAAGTAACTTGATTCATCCAGTTCCATTTTGACACTGGCCTTATTTCAGTTTTGGAGCAAATACATACCTATTAAGTTTAATATTTAATCTGTTTCTTATGTATCATTATGGCTTTGTGTTATAAACCAATGCCCTTATGATAATTTTTGTTTTCAAATATCTGCTTGACATGCATTTAAATCCACTTGATTTGTGTCCACTTGACCACTGATACATGCCATAGCATCCATTCTTCCACCAAATTGCTATGGAGAGTTTTTATATCATTTAGGTCTTTGTTAATAACATCTATTTGCATTCTCAAAATAAGTCCCAAATTTTATTTTATAGATAAAGCTGAGAATCATTCACAGTTGATATTAAATATATCATCACATTTCATTGATCTGCTACCCTATACCTTAGTAATTAAACTTCCACAATTGCTACCACTATTTTATACCACTATTTTGAGTCATATGTCCTTCACATATGGAAATTTGATTACTGAAAGGGAATTCTAGTTTGCTTTATTATTCCAGTCACAATGTGTGGACAATACTTCCTCGATTTTCTTCCACTCAAGGCAGTTGAAAAGTCAACCAGATGATCTAAGAGACCATATGGTTTTTACTCTTCCTAATTCACTTAAAAGGTTTAATATTAGGAGGCACTACATATTTAGAATGTAGCATATTTAGGCTATACCTTAGAATACAAAATCTGCTGCATATTTACTTCTCTGATTATCTTTTGTAACTTTTGCCTTTTAAAAGCTGACAATGGAGTTGAGGGCTGCTGCATATACCGCAGACATGAGCGAGTCACTGATTTTCAATCATAGCACTTTGGTACGTGGTAAGAGTCTTTGGTTAGTTGTACTCTTTCTGGCAGGCTTCCTCTACCTTGCAATTTTTGAGATGAGGGGTTATTGGTGGTAAAAGTATAGAAGAGGAAGAATCTGGATGTCTTTAGCATGGTTTGTAAGCATTTCTCATTTTATTGCCAACTTAAGTGGATATGCTTTTCCTAATAGCTGACTTCCTAGTTGACTGAATGGGATCATGTCAGAAAGACACCTACTTACTTTGTCCCATTGAAAGGATAAGTACTTCACAGAATGCAGAGGTCTGTGGACGCTTGAGAAAGAAATATTTATTACTTTGAAAATCCTTCAAAATGTACCCTTCCTTTCCCACCCCCCTCATACTCTTTGCACTCTGCCACACATTCCAAAGTTTGTGAATTTTTAGTATGAACTAAAATAGGAAAAACATCTCTTTATGTTTCCTATATGGTACATTTTATTAGGAAACAATAAAAATGACTAGGCGACATTATGCCTGTAATGACTTCAGAAGAAAAAGAATACAGTTTTAAATGTGGAAGGAGTCATCATTTAGATACTAAATGATTTGATTTACAAGGGAAAATAAACTTTAAAATCTAAAATATGACAAAATTGACATAAAGGACATATTTTATAATCACAGAGTAAGTCTGAAAAGGTGAATTGTATAAATTCTTGGCAATGTCCCTCAGAGTCACCTCTGTGTTCTTTGATCCAGTCTAATTTTAATGGCTTCTAAGGAGCATCCAAAGATGTTTCTGGATAATTTTACTCTCATAAATAGCTAGCACATAGTGCTGGCATTTCATCTATAATAAGTTTCAACCAGTAAACTGCATAAAGTGTTTAAAGGATCTTTCCTTCTCTTTTCAATCATCCTCTTGCTTAGTTTGGGTGTTTTCCTTATCATTTTGCCTTACCCCAATCTCAGGTTTTAAAGTATTAAATACAAACATTTTTCAACCTTTGTTCTTAGGCAAGAATTATTGATGTTACAAGGAAAAAAGTAAGCTTTCAACTACCAAGATTTCCAAGGTTTAACTCAGTCATTTTTGAACGGCTGACTAAAATTTTAGGTATTGAATGATCATATTTAAAAACTTAAGTAGTCATACAAACAACTTTTTTTTTAATCCCACTGATTCATTAGGATGCCTCAGATGGTTTGGGAAAGCTTTTAAACTACCACTGTACTATATGGAAAAAGAAAAAACATAAAACAAAAAATCCTCAAAACATGTTTAAAATGGTTCCAAGTACTCTTTTAAAGAGAGAAATCCATTGCAAAAGAGACTGCCAATTCCTTGCTTTCTGGTTCCCTGCTTAGGGACCTCTTTCCATTCACCTATTCTTCTTATGCAACGGATAATGACTTGGGGTTGTTTTGGTTTTCGTTTCTGCTGAGTCACTAAATTTTGCGTCTTTGTCCCCAGGTGCTACTCAGCAGAAAAGTTAAAAGTGCAATTCAGAAAGTGTTGCATTTGTGTGTCTAGCAGAGGGAACCATTTCCCTAACAGAAGCTCAGTGACTTGGCTTATCCTTCCTTCCTGGGAAGGAAGCTTCGAGGGACCGAAGGGATCAAATCTGCTTTGCCAAAAGAAGCATCCCAGCGCGGTAGCTGCTAATTCCGAGCTGGCTGTTAAATGCGGAGCTTCTGAGGCGCTTGGCTGGCTCAGCCGAGTGCAGAAGTCTCCCCCTTGTTAAAGACCCAGATCCCTACAGAGCCAGCTTGGAGTTACTTTCTCTTCAAGGAGACCGAAATAATTGTGATTTGCGGCGCTCTCAGTCCGCGCTGGTATTTTCCTGTTGTGTTAAATGCCTCTTACTAAGTAATAGACGTGATTTATGTGGACGACGAAGGGGTGTGTGGTGGATTCGGTGATTAATCAGTGCATTCCCATCCACCGGCATCTCTCACTGCCCCTCTTGCGTGATGTAAGATCAGACGTACCCTGCATTGAAAAGTCAAGACACACGAGCGGCTCGCTCGCTCTCACACTCTCGCTCTCTCTCTCACACGCGCGCATCCGTACACCTTCCACATCCTGCTCCAGGCAGGAGCAGGCGGACTGGCTGGGCTCATTGAGCTGAAGAATTTCCAGTGACATTTGTAAATGACGCTGCTTGATTCGGGGCTCCGAGCCGCCGCCGCCACCGCCGCCTGGCCGAGGGTGCCGCGGAGCGGTCTCCAGCGCAGGCTGCCTTACCGGGCGACCAGAATGTCCGAGATTCTCCTCGCCTTACTCACTCTCTCGGGATTACTGCCTATCGCCAAGGTGCTGACCGTGGGAGCCAACCGAGGTAGGAACAACCCCCGCCCCCTTCTTCCCCTTTCTTCCTAGGCTTTCCTGCTGGGTGATGCTTGCAGATAAGCGAGCGTGAAACTTAAGTCCTTGCGGCCCCTCTCGCCGGGACCGGGTTGCCTCCGTGCGCTGGCCTCCTGAGGGGGAGAGGTGCGGTGGGGGATTTCTGAACCAGGAGCCAGAGTCCTCCGCTCCCCCACAGCTTTTTCATTTGGCTATTGACCGGTCCTGATTTTGTACCCCCCGGGAGCGTTTAGACTTGAGTGCGCGCTTCTGCCCGAGCATCCCAAGCGCTGCAGATGTTGGGATCAGAATTCGCTTTTCCAAGACTTCCTTTCTGCGCTGACTCTCATAGCTTGGAGCTTTTGCAGCTCCGGATCCTCCGCGTTAAGTGTGTGCCCCCTCAACTTAACTCCTGGGTTAACTTCCTTACCTGATGCCCCCGGGAGCTGTGGCAAGGAGAAAGCGCCCATTCAAGCACCTTCGGTCTCTGTAGCCTATTTCCGGGGCCGACTTGGGCGAGATTCGTATTGTTAGTAGAGAGACTAAGGCTTCTGGGCGCAGGCACCTGCTTGAACTTGACTTTTTGATTCCAAGGGTCTGTGACATAGCTCATGGTACCTGGAGACGCTAACCCACCACTGGCGTTTCGCTCTTGCTTTTTCTCCAAATAGCTAATGAATGGTAGAAGTTTAAACGGGAATGGGTATGGGGAGCAAAGGAGAGAGGAGGTGGGAATTATAATAACCCTAGATTCTGTAAACTTTTGGTCTGGAAACCCAGAAATCCCTGTGCAAGTCTGTTCATCTTTGACAACAGTTGCATCAGTGAAAAGGGGAAAAAATAGGAGATCAATATTTGGGCTGCTGGCACTGGAAGGGTTAACTGCTTAAAGTAATATCAGAAGTATCATAGATCTAGTTTTTTGTTTGTTTGTTTGTTTTTAGCATAACATGAGTTCATATTGACTGATATATTCCTTTTTTTTTTTTTTG